CAGCACCCCCAGGCTCAGCACCCTCAGCAGCACCAGAGTCACCAGCGACCTCGACAGGCTCAACAGCGTCTACCTGGGACACACCTGAAGGGGCAGGACCCTGAGGGGGGAGGGGGTCTACCGGGGGGGGACCTGGTACAAGGAAGAGCGGTGGCGGGGGGAGGGACGGAGTGCGGTAGGGGAAGAGGCGGTAGTAGGGGACCGACTCGTCGAACGTGACGTCCTGGGAGGACAGAACACGGCGAGAGGTGGGGTGGTAGAACTGCCACCCTGGGGCGTCAGGGGGGAAACCCAGGAAGACGCAAGGAGCAGCACGAGGGTACAGCTTGTCCGCAGACAAGTCGCGGACAAACGCCCGAGATCCCCAGACACGGAACGCAGACGCATCGCCAACCTTCCCCGTCCACAGCAAAGCTGGGGAGGTCTCCGGCATGGAGACCCTGGGCTGAAGGTTGATCTGATGCGCCGCGTACCGAACCGCAAACGGCCACAGAAAATGGGGGGCAGCCGCATGCATCATGGACGTACGGGCGACGTCCATGACCATGCCAATGCGGCGCTCAGCAATCCCATTTTGCTGTGGAGAGTCCGGAAGCGTGAAGGTCTGGCGGATGCCTCGTGCACGACAGTAGGCTCGCAGAAGGCCAGAGGAGAACTCTCCGCCTCTGTCAGAGTGCAGACGCAGAACAGGAAAGTCCGAGCCAAAGCTCCGCCTGAGCTGGAGACGAGCTGCGCGGATCCAGTCGATCAACACCTCAGTGACATCACCCTTGCTGCGCAAGGGGAAGACTGTGGTGTAACGCGAGTAGTCGTCAACCACCAGCAGGAAGTAGCGCTCGTGACCCTGTCCACGGACGCGGGCCGGGCCCCACACGTCCATGTGAAGCGTCTGCAGCGGGGCCTCTGTCGGAGGAAACTGGGAGGAGTGAGGGGTAGCCCGCTGCCGTCCCTCGACACAGGGGACGCAGGTAGGGCCTGGCCCCGGAGGAAGGGGAGGGAGGGACCGGGGAAGACCAGAGACAAGGACACGGGAGGCCATGCCTCGGAGACGAAGCAGGGAGGGGTGACCAAGGCGGTGGTGCCAGAGGAGAGTCTCGTGAGACAGGAGGCGACACGAGCAGGGGGCAGACTCAGGACCAGACCTGGACGCTGCAGCAAACACCTGACCCGACGCAGCTACCTGACCAGACGCAGGGACTGGAGGAGACGCAGTGGTCAGTGTGTACAGGCTCGACCCTGGCCGACGTGTAAACGTGGCCAGGTGGCGGCCTGTCCTAGCGTCCGTGCAGTGGGTCACCCGCTGACTCGCAGGAGTGAACTGGTGAACCCCCGCATCCTGTAGGTCAGCACCACTCACCAAGTTCGTAGAGAACGAGGGGAGGTAGAGACCAGACAGGGTGCCAGAGGGGGCCGCCGGACACGGGAGGACAGTGGAGAAGTGAGCAAGGACAGGACCCCCAGAGGGGTCTGCCAGGGAGACCGCAACTGGCCGGCCAAGCGGCGTGAGTGTGGTGCGGTCTCGAAAGAAGGAGCGAGAAGCCCCCGAGTCAAGTGTGAAGGTGTGGGAGGCCGAAGCCGACGCAGAACCTGAGAGAGCAGACTCACCAGCACCTGAGGGAGCAGACGCACCTAGAGCAGCAGCCTCGCTAGCACCTAGAGCAGCAGCCTCACCAGTACCTAGAGCAGCAGTCTCAATGCCCGGGTCGGGCGGAAAACACCGGTAACAGTCACCCTCATCACTAATAGTCACAGTATACACGGCAGCAAGAATAGCATCAAAGTCAAGGTCAAAGACAGCTACACCCGCCCTAGACAGCTCACCCCAGCGGGGGATCTCAGTGGCCTCAGGGAACTGGTGACGCCAAGCGTCCGTGAGGCGGCCAAAGCAGCGCTGGGTGGAGTGCGCACCCCCGCACTGCTCACCCGCGCGGTCGCCGGTGCGCAGGACGTAGGTGCACGGACCAGCACCCCCACCCCTCTGGCGTGCAGTGTACCACTCACGGAGCTGCTGAGGGGAGGGGACGTCACGAGTGCGCTGCTGCTGCTGCTGCTGCTGGCGCTGACCACCACCGGAGCTGACCCTCTGCGCAGCGCCACCCCGACCAGCTCCACCTCCTCCGCCGCCTCCTCCTCCACCGCCGCCACCTCCGCTCCCTCCGCCACCGCCGCTCCCTCCTGCGCCTCCACTGCCGCCACCTACACCTCCACCCCCGCCACCACTCCCACCGCCACCCCCACCTCCTCCACCACCTCCACCGCCGCCTCCACCGCCCCCGCTAGCTCCTCCAGCGCCCCTCCCCCCCTTGCCCCTGCCAGGGCGGCGTCTCCCGCTAGGGGTAGACGCTGCCCCAACCGACTCCAAACCAGTGAGGTTGGCCGCAGCAGCAGAGGCAACAGAGGGCAAAAGAGGGGAGGGGGAACACCCCTCAAAGATGGGGGTGCGAGGGTCACCACGAGAGGCTCCTACAGCAACTATGCTCTTTTCTGCTGCTAGGAGGGCCTTCTCGAGGAGGTCAACGGTGAGAGTGGTGGGACAAACCGAGAGGAAGTGGTCCCTGACTACGCGAAGGGAGTCAGGGAGACGGGTGACTATGTAGTAGAGGGTGATGTACATGGGGGGGGGGTTCTTGGCGCAGAACTCAGCAGAAAGCGCAGCGCGGTAGCGAGTGTCACTAGAGCGGAGGTGCGTAATGATGTCAGCGACTGTGGGAAAGGCAGCAAGGTCAGGGAAGAGGTACGGTAGCATGAGGCGGCTCAGTGCAGCAGTGGCAGGGGAGGAGTAGCGTGCAACTACAGCGTCGTACAAGGTCTGAGCACTCTTGTACTGGCTAAAGTGCGCACGCTCAGAGGTAGGGAGGTGGCGACGCACAGCAAGAAGTGCAGCAGCATCGCGCGTGGCCCACTGTGAGCGAACGGTGGCGTCAGCATCAGCAGCGGGGGCAGGAGAGGCACCAGAAGTGAGGTCAAAGAGGGAGAGGCCGTCTGCTCTGTCGCACTGTAAGAAAAGCTGCAGGTCATCTATCCAGACGTCAAAGTCAATGGCCCGACCCTCAGCGTCAAAAGCGAGGACACTAGGGGTAGCCATGACAGCAGTAGACTAGCAGTGCAAACAGTAGGGCGAGGGCAGTGCTGTGAGAGAGGCGCTGCTCTTACCGGACAGGGCGGTTTGGGCGGCTCGGCTGCAGGGCGGCTCGGCAGCTCGGCGACTCGGCGGCTGGGCGGCTCGGCTGCTGGGCGGCTCGGCTGCGGACAGGGCGGCTCGGCGGCTGGGCGGCTCGGCGGCTCGGCTGCTGGGCGGCTCGGCTGCTGGGCGGCTCGGCTGCTGGGCGACTCGGCTGCTGGGCGGCTCGGCGGGGCCGCTGAGAGGGCGGCGTCCGGGGCCGCTGGGAGGAGGCGGCGGGGCCGCAAAGGTAAGTGGCGGGGCCGCGGAGGTAGGTGGCGGGGCCGCACAGTAAGGCGGCGGGGCCGCGAAGGTAGGAGGCGGGGCCGCAGAGGTAGGTGGCGGGGCCGCACAGTGAGGTGGCGGGGCCGCGAAGGTAGGTGGCGGGGCCGCACAGGTAGGTGGCGGGGCCGCGGAGGTAGGTGGCGGGGCCGCACAGTGAGGTGGCGGGGCCGCGAAGGTAGGTGGCGGGGCCACACAGGTAGGTGGCGGGGCCGCACAGGTAGGTGGCGGGGCCGCGGAGGTAGGTGGCGGGGCCGCGGAGGTAGGTGGCGGGGCCGCACAGTGAGGTGGCGGGGCCGCGAAGGTAGGTGGCGGGGCCGCGGAGGTAGGTGGCGATGGGCGCGACGGGCGCGACGGGCGCGACGGGCGCAACGGGCGCGACGGGCGCGACGGGCGCGACGGGCCGAAAGGGCGGCGCGACTCGGGCCGGCGCAAAACGCGCTCCGGGCAGAAAAAAAAAATTTCGTGGTGGTGGGCCCTAGGAATCGTTCCCACTAGGGAACCTGCTCGATACCATGAGAAGAAACGAGGAATGGAATGACTAAGTGAAAGTTGGGTACAAGAAGCAAACCCTAGAAAACTGTACCCCATATGTGCTACCCCACTATAGCCTACAGTAGCTATGTCATATAAATCTGACAAATTGTTAGTGCTATAAAGGCAGCCTCTTTTTCTGCTAAGTCTTCCCAGCTACTCAAATGGCTAGGTGGTGGTACGGGGGGCGTGAGAGGTGACTGACGAGGTAGCAGGAAGGAACAGTAGGTCTTTCCCTGGGGGATGGAGGGTGCGGTTACGCGGCCACTAATTTGAGTGTATAGCAGCAAATAGATTCGGGCGGTGTCTTCCACGGGGGAGATGAATGTGGATTTGGTGGACCGGGAGAGGGACGATGTCGAGGTGGAGGGCGGGGCTCTTCGGGTGGAGGCCCCGTACATGGTGGAGGCACAGATGTGATTGAGGGGGGGTGAAATGGGGAGCGAGATGGGGTGCCTTGATGGGGTGTCTTGATTGGGTGTTGTGATTGGGTATCTTGATGGGGTTTTTTATGTGTGTTGCATTGGGGTTTGAATTTTTGGAAGTTTTACTTTCCTTCTCCCTGTCCATCTCCATTTCCCTTCTCTTTCATTTATGTCTCTCTTTCACATTTTCCTCTTTCTGTCTAGGATCATGTGATGTACTCTCATATAAACAAACGAGTGTACGTACATACAGATAGGGACATGGCGATAGCCTTAATAAAGCAGATCAATACAAACAGATGTCGCTAGAGAAAGTGCTCTTCGTTTCTACTAATCAATGTTTAAGGCTTAGATTGCGGTGGGAAGAAATGGGAGGGTCTGAAAAACGGATGCGTAGTGCAAGCTGGGGTCAAAGTTGTAAAACGAAGGAAAAACTGCATCGAAGCGTGATGCACACAATCAAATGAGTGATTATACATTGCGGCACACCCCGATACAGAGATGCGCTCGGCGATACAATCTCTCGGGTCGTCGATGACTCATTTGCAATTCTGAAAGTGCGCTGAACCATTACAAGTCATTTTCACTGCGTCTAGAACATGGGGGTTCAACCGCAGCCGCCTCTGCTCCTCTCGCATTCGGCACGCATTCGAAGCACTGGTCACGAGGGTTCAACCGTAACCGGGCACCTGCCGTGGGGGATAACCACTGCGGTTTAGTTGCTGCTCGGTGCCTGCAGCTCATTGGTTGAGAGGGGGCATCTTGAGGGTACTCCTAAAGGGCCACTGGCATAGACATGTTCCTCCTAACTCTCGTGGCGGCCTCCCCCCTCCCCCGCCCCCGGCCGCACGCGGCGGCCTCCCTCCCCTCCCCCGCCCCGGCCGCTCCGTTCCGTGGCCTCCCCCCTCTCCCCCGCCCCCGGCCGCGCGCGACGGCCTCCCTCCCCTCCCCCACCCCGCTGCCGCGTTCGGCGGCCTACCCCCCCTTCTCCATCCCCGGCCGCGAGCGGCCATTCCCCCCCCCTCCCCCCCACCCACCCCCCCCTCTCTCCCGCCCCCAGCCGCGCACGGCGACCTCCCCTCCACCCTGCCCCACCCTCAGCCGAGAGCGGCGGCCTTCCCCCCCCCCCCCCTTCCCCCGCCCCAGGCCGCGCACGGCGGCCTCCCCCCCCTCCCCCCTTCCCCACCCACGGCTGCGCGTGGCGGCCTCCCCCCCCCTCCCCCCGTCCCCCGTCCCTGGCCGGTGGCGGCGGCCTTCCCCCAACACCCCTCTTCGGCCCCCAGCTGCGCGATGCGGCTGCGCACGGCGGCCTACCCCCAACCCCCCTCCTCAGCCCCCGGCCGCCCGCGGCGCCTTCCCCCAATCCCCCTCTTCGGCCACCGGCCACGTACGGCGGCCTCCGCAGTAGCAAAAAACCATGCCGTCAACGTATACGATAACGTAGAACGACGGCAAAGAAGTGTCTGTGCGCAGAAACAGCGAAGGGTCAGCAGTCGAGGGAGCGAAGCCAAGAGCCGAAAGTGTAGTCCTTAGTATGTCGTGCCACTCACGGGGCGCCTGTCGTAGGTCGTAGACTGGCGCCGTAGACTCCACTGGGTACCCTCGGGAAACGATCCAGTGAAGCCACGTGGGTGGCGGAATCAGATAGCCTCGTGGAGGCTGCCCTGCAAGAAGGCTGTCGAGAAGTCGAGGGAGTGCAGCTCGTAGTCGCGCTGTGCTGCAACATGCAATAGCACCCAAAGAGTGGTCTTCGGGGTAGGGGAGAAGGTCTGGAAGAAGTTGACCCTTTCATGCTGACTGAAGCCTCGTGCTACGTAACGCGCCTTGAAGGCAGGCGGAGAACCTGGCGGCCGCTTCACTCTGAAAATCCACATGCAATCGACTATGTTCGCCCCATGTGGGGGAACCTTGTCGACGTAGGTGCCTGTGGACTTCCAGGAAGCCATCTCTGCGTCCATGGTTATCTGCCACTGAGAGGAGTACGGACGCGTGATCGCCTCTGTGTAAGTATGTGGGGTCGCGATGTCCAGTGCATCCGGGTCTCCCTCAAGGCAAAGTAGCGTGGACGCGAAATGAGGTGCAGCGGCCACTAGGCACTCCAGTTCAAACTGCCTGTCCTTAAGAATGTCACAGCCAAGGGCAATCTCACCCCCGACGGATGGAGGACAGGAACAGTAAAAACAAGAATCGCAGCATAGTCAAGGCGGCACAAAGCAGCAAAGTCAACAAGCTCAGCAACTGAGGCAGACGCAACAGCAGACTCAAATGAAGGGTTAGTCACAACCGTGGCAAGGAGATGAGTGACAGTCGGACTGGCAATACGGACAAGGACTGACTCAGGGTCAGAAACGTGAGGAAGATAAGATGTAGGAGGAGACGGCAGGACAACACGCTGTGGAACAGAGGAAGGACGAAGTGCCATGATGTGTGTGCCAGGGACAGGTGGAGGACGAGGACGCACAGTACGGCGAGAACGGACAGGCGTGACAGGACGTGACGCAGGCTCTCTACGGTCAGTGAGGGACCCTGTCACCTCAGTGTGAGGAGCAGGAGGAGGCAGTGGGGAGCCAGGCAGTAGTTGTGGCTGAGTCGGTGGGAACAGCAACGGAGCGGTAGTACCAGCAACCGGGAACTCAGTAACAGTAGGCGAGAGACTGAGAAGGTGACGAAGCGTAGACTGCTGCGGCTCAGTAGTCGCACCCGCAGGACCTCCAGCTCCAGTAGCAACAGCACCCCCAGAACCAATACCTCCAGCTCCACCACCGGGACTGCCCCAACCCATAGGCCACTCGCGAAGCTGCTGCGGCGAGAGCGACTCCTGCCGACTAGCACCACCAACTCCAGTACCTCCAGTACCACCTCCAGTGTCAGCACCGCCAGTGCCCCCAACTCGCGGAACAACGGCACTAGCACCTAGAAAACCAGCACCTCCAGTACCTCCAGCAGCACATGTGCCTCTAGTACCAGTACCTCCAGCACGGCTAACTCCATGAACACCAGCACTAGCACCTCCAGCAGCACATGTGCCTCTAGTCCCAGTACCTCCCGCTTGAAGATGGCTAGCTCCACCACCAGGGCTGCCCCTCTGGACAGCCCACTCGCGAAGCCGCTCCGGCGGGAGAGCCTCCTGCCGACTCGTACCAGGACCACCAGCACCCGCACCTCCAGTACCTCCGGTACCCAGAGGACACTCAGCACCTCCAGAACCAGCACCCTTAGAGTCCGCACCCCCAGTGGCACCACCACCTGCAGCACCAGAGTCCACAGCAACAGGCTGCAATGGTGGTGAAGACGGTCGAGGCGGAAACCCAGGAGGGACCGCCAAGCGCGTGAAGTGGCGAGGGGTCACAGTGACAGCAGGAGTCGGGTCAACCCCCTCAGCTGGGCCAGATGCGACAGACGAGACCTTGAGTGGCTCAACCAAGGGGGACGGGTCAACCTGAGACACACCTGAGGGAGCAGGACCCTGCGGGGAAAGTGGGGCTACTTGGGGGGGGGGGGGGGGGGGGGGAGACCAGTGCGAGAGGCGGGAGGGGCACGGGGGAACTGCAGTGGGGGTGGAGATGGTAGAAGCATACAGACTCGTCAAATGTGACGTCCTGGGAGGAGAGGACACGACGAGAACCCGGGTGGTAAAACTGCCAGCCCCGGGCGTCGGTAGGGAAGCCAAGGAAGACGTAGCGAAGAGTGCGGGGAGAGAGCTTCCCCGCGAACAAACGAAAGGGCACCCCAGACCCGGAACGCCGGCGCATCACCAACCTCGCCCGCCCACCGCAGAGTGGGAGAGGTCTCCGGGTGGGAGACAAGGGGCCAGAGGTTGAGTTGCTCAGTAGCGTATCGGACCGCAAACGGCCACAGGAAATGAAGAGCAGCCGCATGGACGATGGAGGTGCGAGCAACCTCCATCACCAAGCCAATGCGGCGCTCTGCAATCCCATTCTGCTGTGGAGAGGCCGGAAGCATGAATGTCTGGCAGATGCCCTCAGCACCATAGAAGTCCTCAAGGAGGTCGGAGGAAAACTCACCACCTCGGTCAAAGTGCAGTTGCAGGATCGGGAGGTCGTGCTGAAACCGAGCACTGAGCTGGCGACGGAGAGCACAGATCCAGCGGATCAGGACACTGCGGACCTCCGCCTTGCTCTGCAGGGGAAAGACCGTGGTGTAGTGCGTGTTGTCGTCTACAACCAGCAAGAAGTAGTGCTCTCCGCCCTATCAAGAGACTCGGGCTGGACCCCACACATCCATGTGGAGGGTCAGCAGAGGACCTGTGGTCGGAGGAAATGAGGAGGCGTGAGGAGCGGCGCGCTGCCGCCCCTCGACGGAGGGAAGGCACGGCGGCGCAAGCGACCTCTGGAGCGGGGGCAGGGACCTGGGAAGCCCAGAGGAGACGGGACTGCATGCCACAAAGGCGTAGCAAGGAGGGGTGGCCAAGACGGTGGTGCTAGAGGAGAGACTGGTGCGTGAGGAGACGACACGAGCAAGACGCAGCGACCTCAACCGGCGCAGCTACCTGACCTGACTGAGCTACCAGTGCAGACTCAGTGGTCAGTGTGTACAGGCCAGACCCAGGCCTCCGAGTGAACGTGGCGAGGTTCTCACCAGTGTGCGAGTCCGTACGGATCGACACTAGCTCACCTCCAGGCTGGGTGACAGTGACCCACTAGTCCTGGAGGACAGAGGTAGCCACCAAGTTCTTAGCGAACGAGGGCAGGTGGAGACCTATGAGGAGGCCTGAAGGGGCCATCGGACAAGGGAGAACAGTGGCGCCATGCGTGACTACCGGGCCCCCGGAGGGGTCGGCCAGTGTGATAGGGACAGGGGCTGTGAGCGGTGTGACTGTGGTGATGTCGCGGAAGAAGCAGCGAGACGCGCCCGAGTCTAGGGTAAAAGTGTGCAAGGCCTCCTCGTGCTCTGCTCCTGCGCTAGCTAAGTCACACGCACCAAGACTAGTAGCCTCTACGCCACCAGGTGCCTCTACACCCCCAGTACAAGTACCCAAAAACCCTCCACCACCGGGGCTGCCCCACCGAACAGCCCACTCACGAAGCTGCTGCGGGGAGAGAGTCTCCAGTGGACGCTGCTGCTGCTGCTGTCCACCCCCAGAACCTCCTCGTCTACTAGCGACACTACCAGCGGGAGTAGACCCACAGGTACCTCCAGTAGTAGCACCCTACAGGACAGCCCACTCACGACGCTGCTGTGGCGAAAGCGGCTTTGCCAACGAGCACGGCTAGCTCCGCCACCGGGGCTGCCCCACCAAATAGCCCACTCGCGAAGCTGCTGCGGCGAGAGAGACTCCTGCACACTCGGCTGCCGCTGACGTAAGACAGTGATAGTGGCCATGATAGGCAGTGTCCAGCGGCTCAAGGTTTAAAGTAGCGACTGCAGTGGTGGTAGCTGGAACGTTAGGTGCAGTGGCAGCAGTGGTAGGAGCAGTAGCGGTAGCAACTGTAGGAGCGTGCGCAGGCGATAGTGGCAGTTGGCGGTACGCTCGGGGCAGGGAGGAGCGCGCAGGCAGCGTGAGCACGCAGGGCAAGTCAGCGCTGGGCAGTGTGCAGGGCAGCTCTGGCGGTAGCCAGGCAGGGCAAGGCAGGGCTGGGCAGCGTGCAGGGCAGCGCTGGCGCGGACAGTGCAGGACGCTGGCGCGGGCAGGGCAGGGCGCTGGCGCGGGCAGGGCAGGGCGTTGGCGCGTGGCGCAGGCACGGCAGGGCGCGTGGCGCGTTGGCAGGGTAGGGCGCGTGGCGCAGGCAGGGTAGGGCGCGTGATGCAGGCAGGGCAGGGCGCGTGGCGCGCTGACAGGGCAGGGCTCGTGGCGTAGGCAGGGCAGGGCGCGTGGCGCATGCAGCGGCTGCAGGGGCGAGCACGGGCTGCAGGGGCGAGCACGGGCTGCAGGGGCGAGCGCGGCTGTAGGGGCGAGCACGGGCTGCAGGGGCGAGCGCGGCTGCAGGGGCGAGCGCAGGCTGCAGGGGCGAGAGCGGCTGCAGGGGCGAGCGCAGGCTGTAGGGGCGAGCACGGGCTGCTGGGGCGAGCGCGGGGTGCGGGGGCGAGAGCGGCTGCAGGGGCGAGTGCGGGCTGCAGGGATGAGCGCGGCTGCAGGGGCGAGCGCGGGTGCAGGGGCGAGCGCGGGTGCAGGGGCGAGCGCGGGCTGCAGGGGCTAGCGCAAGTTGTAGGGGCGAGCGCGGCTGCAGGGGCGAGAGCGGACTGTAGAGGCGAGCGCGGCTGCAAGGGCGAGCACGGGCTGCACGGGCGAGCGCGGCTGCAGGGGCGAGCGCGGGCTGCAGGGGCGAGCACGGCTGCAGGGGCGAGCGTGGGCTGCAGGGGCGAGCGCCGGCTGCAGGGGCGAGCGCCAGCTGTAGGGGCGAGCGCGGCTGCAGGGGCGAGCGCGGGCTGCAGCATGCTTACTCTTGC